CAGGCCTCTGTGCAGGTGCCAGCCTCAGTGAGATCTGCCCTCGCCCACCTGGTACACCCGCTTTGCTGACTCTGCTTCGGGACGTTTATCACCACCTGACAGCACACTGTGTAGCTCTTTCTGTAGTGTCTTGCCCCAGAATTGTGAACCTAGGAGGGCAAGGACTTGGTTTTATTCTCTGCTCGAAGCTCTGTGCCCAAGAACCCCTGGCACATTGAAGTCCTTCGGTGAATACTTGTCAGATGAATGAGTGAGAGAAAGGTGTGAGGAGGGAGATTACCAGCGTGAGATGTAGGGAAAACAGCGGCCCCAGGCTCCTCCCCTCTTTATTCTGTGCTCTACCTACTCAGTTCTGTGATTATCAAGTCTGATCCAAACTTGGCATCCCTTGAAATATCTCTGTGGTTGGAACTCCCAAGGATTTTGTCAGAAAGACCATGTGCTGCCTGCCTGCATTTGTGTGTGTGAGAATCAGGATAGATTTCAGGAAGAGGGCGGAGGGAGCCCTCAGCAGTGTTGACTTTGTAGTCAGTTGACTGTCTAAATTTCAGTCTGTTTCATGCTGCCTGTTTTCCATTAACAAGTGTGCGGCATTTTAAGGGACATTTTAAGAGATTTTGAAAGAGGAGGAAGGCTTCGGTGTCAGATGTGTGGGACTCTGCAAAAATCAGATAGGATGAGAATCTGGCAATATAATGTTTCTCTTCTTTTTTTTTTTTTTTCTCCTCCCATCTAAGTAGTTTTTGTTTTGGCTTTGGTTTTATTTAAATCTGTGTTTAGGCAGAAAATCTTGAATGCGATTGCTACTTGTAGATCATGATTGTAATTTCCCTGTTGACCTATGGACTTGGAGAAGATCTACAGCTAGCCAACGTGGTCACACAGGTTCAAGTGACTAAAATTGATATATACTTTATTGTAAAATCGTTCTGATATGGTTGACCCTGTCAATATTTTAAGGGCTAACCTCCTAAAGGAAGATAATTAATATGATGAAAGAAGCTATTTTCTCTTGGTGACCTCTGTTACAGGTGATACTTTAATCTTTCTGTATTGGGGGCAGTTTTTGTTTTTTGTTTTTTAAGATGCCAGTTGCAGAGCGTTACCAAGGCAACCAGACTGAAAAGCTTGTTAATTAACTATAATATATAGATTTGTTAGACACCACAGGGAAAGAGTCAGGCGAGGCTTATTTTCAAGTGGATGAAATTTAAAATTCAGAGGTAATACCAGAAAAACCTTCTAAGTGAGGGAAAATACATGTGTGGCTGTAGTGTTCTCCTTATTTTCTTCATGGAAGAGAGATGAAACGGAGGCATAGATGAATAAATGAAATCTACAGGATGAATTAATTTAGAAATGGAGCCAAGAAAAGTATCAGAAAGGCACTTCCTGATGCTATGTTAACCCTAGTTCGGTATAAGCCACAGGTGACAACTGGTTGGGGAAGGTGCTGGTGAGTAGGGGTTCTGGATAATCCATCGAGACATGAACAGAGGGTTGAAAGAAGAGAAAAGCCAAGAATGTTAACAATTTAAAAAAAGATATAAATCTTAGAAACCTAGATTCTTCAAAAGCATCATTTTACAACTTGCCAAGTCAGTATAATGGGCTTGAATCTTATGCCTGCTAGTCATGGAGTTAACACAACCTTAAAGCTTTAAAGTAAAAACTGTTGGAAATACAAGAAGTTACTGGTTCATAGTGGGTGATTTTAATAGATCCTTCTTGGAAATTAAAAAAGAGGAGATGTAAGTGATCTGAATGTCATAATTAAGCTTGATTTTATAGCTTTGCAAGTTTACATCCAATAAACAGAGAATACATGTTCTTTTCAAATACCCATATATTTTAAAGTTGACCTTAGACCACATGTGTACACGCTTGTGCCAAAACACATACATACACACAAACACAAATTCAAGAAATTAACAGAAGTAGAAAATTGTACAGCCTACATTCTCTGCAACAAAACAATAAAACTATAAAAATTAAAATCAAGAGGAAAGCCAAAAATATTTACGCAGAAATGTAATAGCATTCTTCTATAAAGTCTTCAGTTAAGGAGGGAATCAAAGTTGAATTATAGATTATTTAGAAATGAGTTTACATTGAGAGTAATGCATATCAAAAAATCAGAATATAACTAAAGCAATATTTGGCCTAAAGTATTAAAATCACAATTGAAATTATTTGCATTTCTAATAGAGGAAATAGAAGAGAACTAAGCACTAGAGAAAAATCAGTGAAATAATCTGGAAGACGAAGAAGGAAGAGATTCAAAAACTAACAGAACTGATGAACACATAAACTACAAAAACAGAATGCTTGGTCATAAAACCTGAAATGAATTTGAAAATCTAAATAAATTAGATCTAGATAAATTAGACACTCAGCAGTGTCCGTACAGATGATTCTAAAAGAGGTAGAATGCCTGAAATCTAATAATCAAAGAAAACTGTCCCTTCTTCCTTTAAAAAAAAAAATACTGAGTTTTCTGATAGTTTCACAATTGGGTTGTATGAAAAATTCAACAAATGCATAATTCCTATGTTATTTAAAATGTTTTACAACAGAGTAAGGTAGAATGATAAACAGCTCATTGAACAATTTAGTGTGATTTGGGAACTAAGACCTGATGAGGGCAGTGCACACACACATCCACACGCACACCAAAGAGCTACAGGTGAGTATTATTCAAGCTTATCAATTTAAAAATCTTAATGTTGAGATCCAGCTGGATCTTTAGAAAGAGGCTTTAAGAAAACAAGGATAATTTTAAATCTGCTAATTGATTATATAATAAATTAAAGGGAAAGTCAATATGATCATCTTGAGAAAAGTTGAAAAAGCACTTAATAAGATCTAACCCTCATTTTTAACATCCCTAAATCCCTTCAGACAGTGGTTCACACTGTGTTTATATACCTTATCCCATTTGCATTACAAAGGTAGTTCTTAGGAAGTAAATAAATCTCTCAAGGTTTGAACTGCAAAACACATCAGTAGGTGACAACATTGAGACCGTGAAACATAAAGAGCAGAATAACTAGGAAGATCTAATATGTTGGGTTATGATGAAAGCATGTTCTATTGAAGCATGTATTTTAAAAGTCTGATTATACATACCACATATTTTGCAGGATGAGAATGTAATAGAATGTGATACAGAGTAAGTTAACTGCAGCACATTAACAAGAGTAGGAATTAAGTGCTATTTGCAATTAATGTCACGGAGCTCTTCTTATGAGACAGTGTGTTTGCCAGATAAGCCATCCACTGAATGTACTTCACAGACTCCATCTCCATCAGTCCCCATGCAGTCAAGATTCACTTTCTCCTCCTCGGCTCTTTGATTTGTTCTGTCCACACTGATGGGTATCCAGGAGTGGGATTCCTCTTGTGTTCTCTTCTCAAGACAGGTGCTTGGGGTTATCATAGGAAAATAGGATATATGCATTCTCCATGGCCTCCTTTCTCTTCCTGGGCATTAGCTGTTTCCTCTGGGAAGAGCTGGGATGCTCTTCTCCCAGATAGCTCCGTGGCCCTCCCTCTCCCTCCTTGAAGTCTTTGACCAAATTGCAGCTGTCCCCCACTTCCATGCATTCAGGTTCCCCCTTGCTCGGTTCCATTTTCTTTTCCCATGGTATTGACACCCTCTGCTACTACACAGTTGGGTCATTTATGATGTTTGTTCTTTATTTTGTTATTTCTCTCCACTGTGCTATAAACTATATGAGGGCAGGAATCTATGCTTGTTCTCTTTATGGTGCATCCCAAGGTGCTAGAACAGCAGGTGCTTAATAATTTTTTAATGAATTTACTAGAACTGTGAATATGAAGCCTTTCCTACAGTGTTCTTTGATTAGCCAGGAAGTAGACCAGGAAGAGGGTCAGTGAAATGAATGATACAGCAATCAAGGTAGGAATGACATGAGGAACACTTGGTTTTGGAAATGGTCTACCTACAAAGCAGACCACAATTTTTTGTATAGAAGACTAAACTAGGTGGTCTGGATCTGACCCTGCTTTTGTGATTCTGTATGGTTTTTACTGTAGGAAAGACAGAGCTAATGATAACGTACCACCATTCCACATGGCATCATTTTCACCCAGTATTTTCTGAACTTCCCTCATCTGCCCCAGAGATCATGGGACCGTGATAATGTGCTTTAGGTTTGTTTCAGCCTTTTCCCCAAGGACATGATATTGGTGCAGGTTTCTTAAAAGCTTAAACCAAGAGACACCGCTATGGACTGGGGCTCCAGAGGCTAAAGCTTTGCTTGACTTGTTTTTCTTATCTTTTAAAATGGAGGTGCAGCAGTGGTCAGTACATAATACCAGAGAAAGGAGAGAGGGGCATTTGATGGATCTCTGCTAGAGATAGATAACGCCAGATGGCGTTTGGGGAAATTACATGGGAGCATAGCTCATTCTCCATCTTGCTGAGCGTCCACATCATAGAATCCTAGGATCTGAATAAGTTCATTTCTTCAAAATTCAGGGCTCAGAGATGGAGTTCTTCATGCTGATTATCACATACCTTATCCCCAGTTCCTGAAGTCGCCAGAATTTATTCCTGGGTCTGTTTCAGGGTTTTAAACATACACTGTTTTCAAAGAGCAGCCCTTAAAACTCCTTTTAAATTCAAAGATCTTCTGGTCAGTCAGTGATGAAGTCCAGTTCCCAGAGTCTGCACATCATGCAGGCACCTGCCTGCACCACTCTTGATTTTGGTCCGTGTGCTGGACATCGATTACTCAGCACAGGTGAGCGGGAAGGTGGAGAAGGCCACTGCAGCCTCACACCCCCCGTGTCCTGAGCGGATCTCAGGGGAGATTTTCACGGCCGGCTAAGCTGAGTGTGACGGTTTCCGCCAGAGTTCTTTCTCTCCCCTTTTCTTGCGTCCATGAATAGATCCTCAGGACTGCCCGTGCTTCCGACGCCAGTGCCCCCACGCTGCCCCCGGGCATGTGCTAAATTCTTTCTCTCCCATTTAGAAGAGAAGCCAGATTGCTCCAAGGCCCGCTGTGAAGTCCAGTTCTCTCCACGGTGTCCTGAAGATTCCGTTCTGATCGAGGGCTACGCTCCCCCCGGGGAGTGCTGCCCCTTACCCAGCCGCTGTGTGTGCGACCCTGCGGGCTGCCTGCGCAAAGTCTGCCAGCCGGGATACCTGAACATACTAGTGTCCAAAGCCTCAGGGAAGCCGGGAGAATGTTGTGACCTCTATGAGTGCAAACCAGGTACGCGCAGGCATCACCTCAGCAGCCTTGCTGCTTTGCGTCATCGGGTCTCAGGGTCGCAGCCCCCTCTGCCGCTGCCGCCTCCCCCCTCCCGGAAAGATGGGCACGCCTGCCACTTTGGGTCATGGCAGCCTGACGTCTGGCCTTCCAGTCAGAGAGCCAGAGTGATCATCCACTGGTACGGAAGCACCTGCAGATAGGGACTGTCTTGTTTCTTCTCTTCTTTTTCTTTTCCTTCTAAGTATGCTTGACGGGGGAAGCGGGGTTGAAATTTATGGTCCTCTAGCTCCGTGCTTCATTCCCCCCAGAGAAGATCAGAGCCCTCACTTGTAGATGTATCGATCACCTTATTACACGTAAAGACAATCATCATATGTAAACAGCAAGTTATGTTTAGATAAATATATGCATCAGAACGCCAGATGTGTTGTCATGAAATTCTCCGCCCCAGTCTTTCTCCCTGCCAGCCCCCCACCGTCCCTCCGCTGACTTGATGGCATGTGCTGAGATTTCTTAGACTATTTACTCACCTTCTTTGCTACATTTGATTTGTTGTCCTGTCACAGCTATTTCTTGCTTTATATTATTTCTAACATCCTTGTTCTTGTGGCATTTCTAATATGGTCTGTGAACAGGTCTAGACGATAGTGATTTTCCTGTTTGCAAGTTTCTAACCGTTGGTCAGAGGTTTTTCTTTGTTTTTTTTTCCCCTACTGCTAGATAAATGCCTGAAGCCAAACAATCCCTTGTCCGTCTCTTGCCGTGTTCCACGAGAAGGCCTCTGGATGGCTGGCTCTCTCCAGCCACGTAACCACCACTGGTGCCATTCTCCCCCTACATCTTCATCTTCACTCTTAGAGGTCTTGTACCCTGCCTTCCTGGCACTGATAAGGGACACATTGCAGTTCTCTACTGTTGGCTGAAATAAAAATGTCATTGCTAGGAGAGGGTTCTGGGACGCAAGGAACCTGCAGCCCTTTGCGAAGGGCCAGAGTTTCATGTTGGGACTCAAAGTGCAAATAAATGTAACAGTAAATGGTGCTTCTGTTTGCCCCTCTCAGTTTTCAGCGTGGACTGCAGCACCGTGGAGTGCCCCTCCGTTCAGCAGGCCGTGTGCCCTCTGGACAGCTACGAGACTCAAGTCCGACTCACGGCGGATGGTTGCTGCACCCTGCCAACAAGGTTGGTTTGTCATCGGTTTATCAGCTTTTCTCCTCGGTCTTGTGCGTTAGCACAGTTTCAGGCATGCAGTTTGTTTACCCTAAGTATCAGGGAAACCTAAAATTCTCCGGTTTGTGGGGAGAAATCGGAACTGTGACTATGACTTGGTATTTACATGTATCGTTCCTTGGATCAAAGCCAGCTGTCATCAGGTTAAGTCACTAAGCCTTCCGGATTCTTCAGTATCGGGGTGCCTGTGCACTCTCGCAGGCTGGGAACTATACAGGCAAGTATGTCCCTCAGCAGGATGCACTCAGGGAGGCAGCAAGGTACGGATCAGAGTAGGCACGTCATTTGATCCTCCGCAGTGAATCTTACAGGTACTTCACCATTGTGTCCAATGGGATGAGACACTGCCTGCCTTACGGAACTGCTCCCCACGGATCCTTACCGTTTGCAGTCACACATCTACCCAGACCTGTTACTTGCTGAGGCAGAGAGGAGTCTGAATTCTTTTGATGCCTTCTAGGGACAAACACAGCTCTCTGGCTTGCTGGGGAAAAAGTTGCTGTCGTTTTAGTCCTAGTGGCAGGACATCCTCTTAGCCCTACAGGATGAGGCTCACTCCAGAGCATGAGGTCTCCGGGTCTTGTCCTAGACAGTCTTCAGAGCACCACCATGGAGCTGACCCTTTGTGCTTGGCTTTGGGGAAGACTATGCTTGGAAACATGGAGTTTATATTCTGTTTCTCCTGCTGAGATACCCTCCCCTCTTCCCTGCCGTGAGCTCTCCTCCATCTTTCCCAGGCTGCTAGGACATCGTTTTGACTAAGTCAGTTCATTTCTTTCTACTCTGCTCTACATTTAATATCCACGGTTGAAAGGGTGCCTTCTTTTGCTCCCTTTCTAACCTCTGTCTGTCCCAATCCCAGTCTGGTGGCAGGCACTCCCCATCTGTGTTTGTTGTAGGAGCAGTTGTGATATTACAAATGGCCTGATAAGATAGGAATATATATGGTCCCTAAGTGCCAGTTATGGAGTAGACATCCAGAGTGTGTTCTGATAATTACTCTTCTTTTCTTCTTTTAAAATTCATTAGTTTTCCCCTACCCTTTGTCCTATTAGAAGCTCTAGGAGTCTCTCAGATATATTTTACACACTTGTCCTATCCTTTATACTGTATCATAAAGTAGATACAAAGGTTTTTGTGAAGGTAGCCTACCAACAGTGGTGCAGCCCCTTCTTATGACATTATGATGTGAAAATGTATCTGAAGATGCTTGGAAAGGGTGAAGCACTGTGCAAACATAAGGTATTACCAATCAGTAATGGAGGACAAGGGAGCGCTACTAACAGTAACAGATGTCCCTTCAAGGTCTTCATGGAAAGGAAGGAGGTGGCACATTACATTACAGAACCTAATTAATCAAAACTAAGCCAGTTAATTAACAAGTCCTTTAGTGAGGAAAAGGGACAATTCTCAAGTCACTGTTATAAATGTTAACATTGTACCATCTGCATGTAGGAGGCACAGTAGGTGATTTTTCAGTCCCTCTAGGGGATCGAAGTGGGTAAAAGCTACTGGAAGACATATTTAATCTCAGTTTAAGGAAAAAAATTTTCTCAACAACTAATGATGTACAGTGATGAATTGGGCTGCTTCCTGAGCTCCCCGGAGCTGGAGAGATTTCTTTCCGTCTGGATGGCCACCTGCCAGCAATGCTTAGAAGAAATGTTACATTGGAAAGGAGGTTGAACTTAGATGTCTTCCGTTTTATCTCCAAGCTTCTGTGAGTCTTGTAAACATAAACCTTAGGATGGTTATTACTGTGTTGACATAATTTTGACGTTGGCATTTAGGACTAAAGAATGGTCAGTCAGCTAAAGGTGCCTCTAAGGAAGAAATTGAAAAGAGAGAAGGAAGTCGTTCAAAATCCCACTGTAAATTATTTGCAGGGAAGGAGTAAGTTCTCACAGCCTTTAGTTTCCTGTATTTTAGATAGTTAGTGACCCATGTGCACTCCCTGCCCCTTCTCCACATCCATCCTGTGTTCCCACCTGGATGAGACCCCTCCCCGTGCTCGCTCACACAGGCTCACGCTCATTCACGCTCACGTGCACGCAGACTCCTGCTCGTTCACACTCGTGCTCGCTCACGCAGGCTCAGTTGACTTTCCTGAGAGCCTCCTACAACTTCTGCCCTCCTTTCAAGCCTGCATTTCCTTCTCTTTGAAGTGTTTTCAGTCTTCAGCCCTGAGGATGACTTACATACCCTCTGCTGCTTATAAACAAATTCCCATGTCTCTCTTTAAGCACTTTTTATAACAAATTGAAATCATTGATTTTTTTTGGTCAATATTTCCTACTCTGTGATTTTTCAAGGGAAGGGAGTATTTTACAGCCTCTAGTACCTAGAATAGGAATTGCTATAATGTGTCAACCTACATTCGTTGATGAATGAATGAATGAAAGAATGAAGGAGTAGGCCCACTCCAGGCCATTTTGATTTATTTGTTGAAGAGAAAAAGTGAATATTTTTAGTCTCCCGTTACCCTCCTGTTGGATGGTAATACTACTTACTCCTTGTTTTCCTTTAAAAGCCTGCGCTTTTTCCCCAACACCTTTCTTTATGGCCCACTTCTCAGGACTACAGAAACTCTTCATTCCAAGCAGCAAGGTCACCTCTCAAGCCTTTATCTCTCCCTTCCACCTTTTCTAATATTGTTCACCCGGCAGGACTCCAATTAAATTCCATTTTATCCAAAAGGTCTTCATGCTTCAACCATCACCCATCCTACTCCCTAGCAACTCCTAACATATTCTTTTCTGTGTTGCCAATTAATCACATGTTTCCTTGCATTGTTATTTAACTGTTACATGCATAGTCTTGTCTCACCAACTAAGGACATTTCTAGAGGTCAGGAATTGTGTCTTCTTTCTTTTCCTCTGTATATGCCTTAATACTGAATCAATCAGTAAATGCAGAATATGCTCAGACCATGGCTAAACCTAGTTTAGCATATTAAGTGGGTTCCCACTTACTAAGGAGATTGATAGGTCATACTTTGGCAAGAGAATAAAAACCCAAACAATCCATGTGAAAATGGAAATAAAAACAAGAGAGCCTAATATGGAATAATCACAGTATTTTAAGAGAAAAAAACTGCATAACTTTATTCTTTTGTGTGATTTGTGTCTTTAAGAGCATGATGTTTAGGTAAAAAGAAGAGCATTTTGGAATATGTAAAATTCTGTTACAATTGTTTCATTTTTGCCAGCATGTTTACAAAGAGCATTGTTAAGAACTTAGAGCCATTTCATATCAAAAACCAATGATGTGGAGAATTCAGGAGGACAGCCCTTTACAGTTACGGTGAAGGTAAAATATCAGTAGAGCTTTACCTTTTTTGTAAGGATTTACTGGACTTCCAGAGACAAGGAAAGGGGCTTGTGGACTTTCTCTCTCTCACCTTAAAGAACAAATTCCTCCCTTTCATTCCCAGTGAGACTGTTTTACCCGTTCAAGCCCCTAACTGTCCTACTTCTGGGTGAATCCTTGTGCAGTTTGTGAATTTTCTTTTTGAGTTGTCTGTTTTCAGTTATTCATTCATTCATCAAGCATAAATTGAGCTCTTAGAAGTGACAGACAATACCCTCTAGATGTTCTTATTGTGCATGGATCTCTCTTTCCTCTCCTATTCCTGACAAACCCTGGTTTTCCCACCTTATCTCTGCCCTTTCTATGTACAGTTTATCCCTTCTTCGCCTGCTGCATCTCTGCTTTTTCTTAATGGCCCAGCCTTCATTTTCCCCTCTTTTGCTGTCTTTTCCTGAACTTCTTCCCATTTTGACATCATTCTTACATGTGATATAATTACCTCCTAACCACTTTTAATTCTTCTTTCCTCAGCTAGGTTTTAGGTTTACAAGCACCCTGCCAATTCTTTTCACCCTTCTCTCTTCTCTTGGCCCTGGAATAGGATGTGAGTTCATCACACCTTTCAGGAGACAGTGAAAAATGAGAGTTAGTGGCTGGGGGCCTAAATGCTGTATGACGGCAGAAAGGAAAACCAGGACTGTCCAGGGGGTTCACGACACCTGTGGTCCTTGGAAGGCTCTGTGTGCATACAAACACCTCCATGCAAAAGGAAACTTACAACAGAGGAAGTTATATCAGGTACAAGTGATCCAAATGGTATCTTTGCAGCGAGGGACAAAGTATTTAAGTAACATGAAGGTAGCAGTAACTTGGACAGCTTAACTGTGTAATGTGCCCTGCTGTTTACAAAGCTTTTCCACTTTTGTTGTTCTCATTTCATCATCATTTCTGATTCCATGAGGAATTTAGAGATATGAAAACAGAGGCTGAGAGAACAAGTGACTTATGCAAAATCATAAGTGTTCTTTGGTATAAGGATCAGAGCAGGGGGCTGAGTCTTCAACCCAGGTTCTTTGATCCAAAGCCTTGTCCTCTCCACTGCAGTGTTCTTTGGATTTTTTTTTTTTTAATAAGTGTTTTGCAGTTGTTTTTTTTTTAAGCCCAGGAAATATATCGGTGATTATGAATTTATATTTCACCAACGTATGTATTTATTTCAGCATCATACATATTAACACAATATGCATAGGTGTCGGTTATTCATTGCTGTGTAGCAAACCACCCCAAAAGTAGTAGCTTAAAACAATAGATATTTGTTATTTCTTGTGGCTCTGTGTGTGAACTGGGAGGTTCTTCCATCGTCCACTGGCAGGTTGTCTAGAGCTGGACGGTCGAAGGTGGCGTCACTCCCATGTCTGGGAACTCAGCCGGGATGGCTGGAAGGGCCTGTCACCCCCTGTAGGGTCTTTCATCCTGGGCTTCTCCCACAATGGCAGAAGCGAGAGAGCAAGTAGCAAAGCCTTAACAGATGGGACTTGGAAGTCACACAGCCTCCCTTCTGCCACATTCTGTTGGTCCGAGGAAGTTGTAGGGTGACCCCTGATTCAAAGAGTTGGCAGTAGATTCCACCTCTTGATGGGAGA